ACGGCGCCCCGCAGGGGCTGGTGCGATTCCAAAGCCAGAACGCCCCCCACGGCTTCGGCGCGCGGGGGCCGGCGCGGATGGGTGACTCCCCGCGGGTGGTGGAGGATGGGGCGGAGGGGCGGGATGCGCGGACGGCGCGGCGGGGCCGGAACCCGGACGAGCCCCACGCCCTGAAACGCTGGAATAGCGAGAGCTCCGTCTCGACGATCCTGCCGGAGGCCGGGAGCAGTCTTTTGTACGACCCATGCGCCAGTTGCCATCGCATCATTGACGATACCGAGCCGGTGAAGCGCTGCCTGGAGTGCGATTTCACCGTCTGCGTGGACTGCTATACCGGGCAGCCCGTCTCCCACGCGCACGAACTGCGGTCGTTCCGCCGGACGCCGAGGATGGACCCGCACGAGCTCACGCCGTTGTCGAATTGGTCGCGTAAGTCGGGCGGGAATCGGATTATTAACAACTACGTGATTATCCGCCAGCTTGGGCAGGGCAGCTTTGCGAAGGTGAAGCTCGTGCAGAACGTCCAGTCGGGGGAGTTGTTCGCCCTGAAAATTCTTCGCCGGTTGAAGCCGACGACGCTGCTGAATCGCGTAAAATCGCACGGCAGCGATGACAACCTCCTGCGCGAGGTGGCCGTGATGAAGTACATCGAGCACCCGAACATCGTGCGCCTGATCGAGGTTATCGAGGACGTCGAGGGGGTGGGGCGGCTTTATTTAATTATGGAATACTGCCAGCGCGGGCCGGTCCACCAACTCGGTTGCCCCCCGCTTCCGCTGGCCGCGGTCCGGCATTTCGGTTGCGGGATCCTCGCCGGGCTGGTTTACCTGCACTCCGAGTTTCTCTACCATCGCGATATCAAACCCGCGAATTGTTTGGTGACCAACGCGGGGGTTGTGAAATTGGCCGATTTTGGGACCTGCAATAGTCGTCGACACTCCACTGGGATGGACGGGACGCCCGCGTTTAATTGCCCGGAGATCATTCAAGTCGGCGAGGCCTCTGGCGAGATCGCGGATAGCTGGGGATTCGCCCTCACACTTTATCAAATGGCGCTGGGGCGGCTGCCGTGTGAGGGGATGTCGGCATTGGGCTATCAAAGCTTTATTCGATCCAGCGAGTCGATTTATATCCCGTCCCCGAGCTCTGAGAACACCATTGACCCTTCCCTCCACGATCTTCTCTCTCAGATGTTAAATAAGGATACATCCCAGCGAATGATGATCGCAAAGGCGATTCATCACCGTTTTTTTCAATTCACCCCGGATGAGATTCACGGGATGCTCCGAAGACGTAGTGAAGAGGAAGGCCTCTTCCCTGAAATCGCGGGGGGAATGGTGGAAATGCAAAACCAACAAACGCTTTGTCCCTCTTCTAACCCCAGTAGGGTGAGTTATCTTTATGATAAGGCCCTGCGGTCTGTGAAAAGTGGGCGAAACCTTTCGGAGTCCTTCCATGGAATTCGGGATATTAATTTGATTCATCGAAAAGACATGCAGGTGGCGGAAGGGAGGGACGACGGGGGTCTCGACGGCCTCCGCGGCTTCACCCAACATCTTCGAAGCTTCAGCGGAAGTTCGTACGCCACCGAACACTCCGGGGAGTCCGCGCAGTCGATCGACTTATCCGCCCTTCTCGACCGTCTGGAGCAGCAAAAACGGCAGAATTCGCAAACTCTCGACCTGTCGAATATCCAAATGGAAGTCCTGCCGAGCCTCCTCAACGACGCCGCGCCCTTCACGACGCGAATGCGATGGATGCTCAACCACCTCAAGCGGCTCGTCAACGTCGACTTCTCGACCTTCCACCAACTCAAGGAGGTCTCGATCGTGTGCAATCATCTCGAGGCCTTTCCCGATGAGCTCCTTCGGACCCCCCACCTTGTCCGACTGGATTTATCGCACAATTCGATCCCGAGCATCCCTTCCATGGCCTCCGCGATCTTTTTAGAACAGCTGAACCTTCACGGCAATTGCATTCACCAGGTGGGGGTGGAGGAGGGGACGGGGGAGTCCGTCCTGCACGCGCCGCGATTGCGCCTGGTCCGCCTCACCGCCAACCCCATCCTCGCCTTGCCGACGAAGCTCGAGACGTTGGGGCGGCTCAGCCTCGTCTTGGATGCCCACCCCGACCTCTCCGCGCAGTGGGCGAAGATGGTCGAGGAGCGGAGTCGAAGTTCGGCCCCGCCGAGTTTGTTGATTATCATTTGGGATGAATACTTCCCCGCGCGGGTGGCGGGGACGGAGTGGCCGATCTGGATCGCCAGCAGCAACCTCCAATTGTACCGTCTGGAGACCTTGCAGGTTTGCGAATGCCGGCATGTGGTGCTCTTTCGAGGTGCGGATTCGTCCTTTCCGATCGGACGGGTGATGAGCGAAAAGTTGAACAAACACTTTAGGGAGATCGAGTCGTTTCAGTTTACTCTTCATGGGCGGAATAAAATGTCCCAGGAGGGGTATGTGGGCATAGAGAGGGCTTCCATGGCGCCATACCCGGCCTCGCTCCCTCCCATCGTGCGCTATGCCGCGCGGCGCTACGTGAAGGAGTATTTTTTTCTATCCGATAACGAGGAGGATCCTGTCGGGGGGTATTGTAGCTTATTTCATTTTATTTGCGAAACTTTACAAAAGCGCGAGCCGATCATGTTTTTTATGATGTGCTCAAACTCGAGCCTTCAACACACTCGCGAGATCGCAGTCGCGGCGCTGAGCGAATATTTGATGATCATGTTGGGCCATGGTACCCTGAAGGAGAAGTTTGATGCCGTGATGGCGTCTATGAGAAATTTTACCTGATCTTTATAACTCCACACGTTCGAAAACATATAATTGGAGAATCAGGATGCAAAGGTGAAAAGCATACAAGAAAGGGAAAAGGGAGGAAAGGATGATTGTCGAACTGGCGTTTGGACTGGCGCCAAGCTAAATTATTTTACGCCATAATCAAATGTTTGCTTGTATCCCGTTTTCAACACTGCTGATATTTAGTTAAAGTTTATTATAGATGTATACACTTATATATATATATATATATATAGATAGATAGATACATGTATAATAACTATCTGTCTCGGTTTTTAATGGGGATTTTGGGTTTTCAAATTACATCGTTTTTGCATATTATCAGGTATTATCTTTGATTTATTTTTTACCCCTTTACTAGGATACACAGTATTCCAATTAATTTTTTCCCTTTGTACTATTTATTCATATTCAATCAGTGATTTCTGTGTAAAAAAAAGAAATGCAGCTTTTTTTAATTATGTTTTTTTATTATCTCTCGATTACCCTGACCCGATGGATCCTGTGGCACGTATTCGAATAGGTTTTAGATTGTGCACCGCATCAACTGGATGAAAGCTTTTCCTTCAAAACATTTAGGTGATTCGAAAAAAAAGATCAAATACATCTTTTATATTCTATCATGAGAAATACTGAACAACATGAATGGTAATCGCACTAGTAATGCAGCTAAATATTCCCCCAAATGGTGTGACTAACTTTTTTTAAAGTTGGAACATCCTTTATTTTAGATATTTTTATCGAATATACGTTATTTGAATTCTATGTTAGTTTAGTATTGTCCTTCTTATTTCAAGGAAATTCCCAGTCTAAAAAATTTTATAAATTTCTTTAAAATATAGTCTTTCGTTTAGATTCCCCCATCCTTAACAATATATTTGTTGATTTGAATGCTTACTCCTATTTATTTTACTCCAACCATGTTTATTTTAAATGTATTTACATAGCCAGAAACAAAAAATATGTTGAATGCTTTCACTTGTACACGAGAGTATATAGACAATACAACTTCCTGCTTTCGCGCATTTTAGCCTTTATTCGGCGATGTTATATACTTGTTCTTATTTATTTTCATTTATTATTTTTTCTAATCCGTCTTTTATTATGTTTTTGGTGTATTTACAGTTATAGCAAAGGCTTTTTTTTATTCTTAAAACATATCTTTCCCCATCCCCTCCCCCCTCCCTCCCCCAAGACAGGGAATATTTTTCGTTTAGTTTTGTCGTATTCACTTTTTTTTCTTTGAATCATCCAAGATAAGGACAGGAAAAGTCAAGTAGCGACAGACGAAAAGATAGTCTTTTTTTCCTTTTCCCTTTTTAGGCTTTTAAGCCAAACGATTAGATTCCTCCTTATTTCAGTGTACAGTTATTTAAGTCGCATTTTTGAGCCACCCCAAGTTCATCTACTCTTTTCTTTGCTCAAACTCAGCCCCATTGACGCCTAATTGATCCATTCTCTATCCCACCGAAGAGGAGGACCGGCGACTTGGGGTGCCCCTTTTGTATGCAAAACCCACAGGGTGGTATCGTTCCCGTGCGAGCCTAAGTAGCGAGACCCCCCAGCCCGCGCCGCGCCGGATGGACCGCGATTTCGACACCCCGCGACGCCCCACCCGCCCCCCCGACGGGAGCCCGCACTCCCCCTCCCCCCATCAGGTTGCGGCCGACCGCTATATCCCCCCGCGCGCCTCCCAAGACCGCG